GAAGGGCACTCAGGGCCATTGAGCAGTGAGGGATCTTTATCTTGCAAAAGCCTTCCATGACATGGGACTTTGGTTTTTAAGGTCTCATCAGAATGACCTGCAACTTTCACTTCAAGAGCCAAGTGCATGGCAAAGGAACAGTTGCTACTCAATTTTACTGACTTAGTCAGTTGTGGCCGGGATTCGAACTCATGACCTCCTGATCGCGAAGCAAGCGCTCTACCGACTGAACTGCTGTGAACGGTTCACCATGGCTGGAAGGGTTGTACATATTCATTTTAGGAAATATTCACTTTCATTATGAAAAATAGTGACTTACATTTTGATTGTATTCATCATTTTCTAGAAAGTCTCTGACAGTTTGTAGTGCAACATGTACAGCCTTTTCACTTGGGTATCCTACAATGTTTTTTAAATGATTCAGAAGTCAAAATCAAACTTTTCAGATTTTAAAAACAAAGTAAATTTTAAAAATTCTGCTAAAATATCACTGCCAAAACTGCATGCTATAAAAAAAGTCTAATATTTTTGCTGAAGCTTACCATATATCCCTGTAGATATGCATGGAATAGCCTGAAAATTGTACAATTGTGAAAAATAAGAACTTGACACACTTGTTTAATAAATTATTCAATATGACAAATGTAATAAGAATAACAAGAGTCCCATGGGCCACATCGCTCACCAGAGCACTGTAGCTAGGAACAAGCAAAAATCAATTCAGTAATTGCTTAAGTCATCCAGACTCTAAAAGAAGGATATGATTAGAACAAACCTGAATATACGCAAATTTAAATCTACACTATTTAAGGATGACTACATATTTTTTACTAACTGTGGCTTTTTTCCCTTTAAGTTTTTACTTTTATTGTGATCCCCCCCCCCACCATGTGTCATGATTTGAACAAATTTGAATCTACACTTCCTGACGATGCTTCCATATAAATATGACCAACCATGGCTTTGCTGTTCTTGAGAAGAAGATTTTTAAAGATTTTTCCTATATACATGTATTCCTTTGTAAAACTCTGATTGTCCATTTAGCCCCGCCCTACCCCCGGGAGTCATGATTTGAACAAACTTGAATTAACACTACCTGAAGATGTTTCCACACAATTAAGTTTCATCTTTCCTGGCCAAGTGGTTCTTGAGAAGAAGATTTTTAAAAGATACCATTTATTTTTTTTCACTTGTCTCCCTTTGGACTGGGATAAGGCCCTTTATTTGAACAAACTTGAATCCCTTTCACCTAAGGATACTTTGTGGCAAGTTTGGTTGAAAATGGTCCAGTGGTTCTTGAGAAGAGGTCGAAAATGTGAAAAGTTTACTCACAGACAGACAAGCTTACTAGAGCCTACAGCTTACACAGCCAATTGTGCCTAACGTTAATTTAACATGAAAGTAACATTAAGCTAACATCAAGTTAACGTTAATTTAATGTTAATTGAGATCAACCCTAAATTAACGTTAGGCACAATTGGCTGTTTAGGTGAGCAAATATCTATAGGACTCAATTTGACCTTGTTTTTCAAAGATTTTTTCTGAATGTATTCACATGAAAAATTTGGCCTAATAATGTAGTCTGAGGAGTCATGGACTTATTAACCAAACTTGAATGATGCTTCTGAATACAAGAGGCTCATACAACAATGCTTCTCTGAGCTAGCTGTTTTGTTTTGTTTTTAAGGGGGGAACAATTTCTTAAAATATATTTTCCCCCTATTATTTTCCCAGAGAAGAATTCACCCCATATTGAAGCCTTACTCTTGCACCAAAGCATCACGACTTTGCCAAACTTGAATCCTTCTGACCATAAAATGGTCATTACTTACAGCAAAGCAATAACAAGTGGCCCATGGGCCACATCGCTCACCTGAGCAATGTAGCTAGGAAAAAAAGCATAAATCGGTTTATTTTTGAAAAGTTAAAACCCAAAAGTGGTCCCAACCAATCCATAAAAGGGAGAGGGTATGACTTGAACAAACTTGAATCTACACTAACTAAGGATGCTTGCATATTTCTTTGATTACCTGAGGCTTTATTGCCCTTTACATTTGAACTTACATTGTGGCCCCACCCTACCCCAGGGGTCATGACTTGAACAAAATTGAATCCACACTATGAACAAAATTGAATCCACACTATGAATAGGACTAATCATGGCTTTGCTATTCCTGAAAAGAAGATTTTTAAAGATTTTTTCTACATGTTTCTATGTAAAACTTGGATTCCATGTTGTGGCCCCGCCCTACCCCCAGGGATCATGATTTGAACAAACTTGAATGTCCACTATCTGAGGATGCTTCCATAAAAATATGATCATTCATGCCTTTGCTATTCCAGAGAAGAAGATTTTTAAAGAATTTTCCTATATATTTCTATGTGAAACTTTGATCGGCCATTGTGGTCGTGCCCTACCCCTAGGGGTCATGATTTAAACAAACTTAGCTTGAATCTCCACTACCTGAGGATGCTTCCATAAAAATATGACCAATCATGCCTATGCTATTCCAGAGAAGAAGATTTTTAAAGAATTTTCCTATATATTTCTATGTAAAAAACTTTGATTGGCCATTGTGGCCCCGCCCTACCCCCGGGGGTCATGATTTGTACAAACTTGAATCTACACTACCTGAGGATGCTTCCCTATAAGTTTCATCTTTCCTGGCACAGTGGTTCTTGAGAAGAAGATTTTTAAAGAATTTTCCTATATATTTCTAGGTAAAACTTTGATCGGCCAGTGTGGCCCCGCCCTAGCCCTGGGGGTCATTATTTGAACAAGCTTGAATCTACACTACCTGAGGATCCTTCCCTATAAGTTTTATCTTTCCTGGCACAGTGGTTCTTGAGAAGAAGATTTTTAAAACATAGCATCAAATTTTCACTATTTCTTAATTATCTCCCTATGAATAAGAGCATTGCCCTTCATTTGAACAAAATTGAATCCCCTTCACCTAAGAATACTTTGTGGCAAGTTTGGTTGAAATCGGCCCAGTGGTTCTTGAGGAGAAGATAAAAATGTGAAAAGTTTATGACAAAAATAACAACGACAACGCCGACAGATGACAGACAAATTTTGATCAGAAAAGCTCACTTGAGCCTTCGGCTCAGGTGAGCTAAAAAGGACAATAAGAGGCCCAGGGGCCCCAGCGCTCACCTGAGCATATCAGCTAGGAAAAAACACATATCAGATCAGAACTGAAAGTTAACTTAAGTTGGTGGGGGGGGGGGCTTGAATTTGAATTTTAACCCCCAAGGGGATCATAATTTGAATGAACTAGAATCTACATTACCTGAGGATGATTCCATACAAATATAACTAATCCTGGCTTTGAAGTACTTGAAAAGAAGATTTAAAAAGGTTTCCCTATATATTATGTAAAACTTTGGTCGGCCATTTTGGCCACGCCCTACCCCAGGGGTCATGACTTGAACAAATTTAAATCTACATAACCTGAGGATGATTCCACATGAGTTTCATCTTTCCTGGCCCAGTGGTTCTTGAGAAGAAGATTTTTAAAGATTTTTCCTATATATTCCTATGTAAAACTTTGATTGGCCATTTTGGCCCCGCCCTACCCCCGGGGGTCATGACTTGAACAAATTTAAATCTACATTACCTGAGGATGATTCCACATGAGTTTCATCTTTCCTGGCCCAGTGGTTCTTGAGAAGAAGATTTTTAAAGATTTTTCCTATATATTCCTATGTAAAACTTTGATTGGCCATTTTGGCCCCGCCCTACCCCCGGGGGTCATGACTTGAACAAATTTAAATCTACACTACCTGAGGATGATTCCACATGAGTTTCATATCTTTCCTGGCCCAGTGGTTCTTGAGAAGAAGATTTTTAAAGATTTTTCCTATATATTCCTATGTAAAACTTTGATCAGCCATTTTGGCCCTGCCCTACCCCCGGGGGTCATGACTTGAATAAACTTGAATCTACACTACCTGAGGATGATTCCACATGAGTTTCATCTTTCCTGGCCCAGTGGTTCTTGAGAAGAAGATTTTTTAAAAATGCCAATAATTTTTCTCTAATTCATGATTATCTCCCCTTGGAAAAGGGCGTGGCCCTTCATTGGAACAAACTTGAATCCCCTTCACCCAAGGATACTTTGTGCCAAGTTTGGTTGAAATTGGCCCAGTGGTTCTTGAGAAGAAGATGAAAATGTGAAAAGTTTACGACGACGACGACAACAACGACGACAACAGACAACGGACAAATTTTGATCAGAAAAGCTCACTTGAGCCTTCGGCTCAGGTGAGCTAAAAACAGATAAGATTAAGAAATAAAATCTGCTGTTTGTTCTTAAACTTTCATTGCCCCTTGTTGCCTAGCCGTAACCTTGAGGGTCATAATTTGAACAAAGTTCGATCAATCTGCAAGATGAGGATGCTTTAAAATAACTACATTTTATCAATTCTTTGCCTTTCTAATGAAAAAGACATCAATAATTTTGTAAGTTTTTTCCTGTATATAGCTTTGTAAAAGTTTGATTTCCCATTGTGGCCCAACCCTATGTTGGGTTCATGATAGGCCTTTTTACTAAATGCAGGTGAAACCATAAAAATCAACCTAGTTATTATATTAATTCCAGTTATGGTTCAATAATTAAGTTTCAAAAACAGAAATTCCCTTACCACAGAGGCTAGACTGTTTTCCTTTACACGACTAAGGACAGATGAATATGCTCTGGATAGTAAATCTTCCTTCTCACCAATGGGGCCCACTGTATGTATCACATCTAGAACCAATAAATCTGATGTTAACTGATTGTACAGAAACATACACATACATATGAGTGTTGTGAAAAAATTCCACAGACTGAATTATATCTTTTACAGTTCATAACATTTTTATGAAATTTTTTAGATGGAATAAGTGTGCTATTGATAAAGTACAAATTTTAACATTATTAATTGATTAAAATTATATCAATATGCATTCTGTTGTTATTGATTTGACATCAGAAGTAATAAACATTACTGGTTCAGATCTTTGGAGAAATACACAATTTCCCAAATCAAATTCTTTATTTCTTCATAGAGATGTGAAATTCAAGTCTTAATTATGATGAATCAGATATGATTTAATGTTGAAATATACCAACGTTTTAAACAAGAGGCCCATTTGCCACAATGATCACCTGAGTCACTTTGACTCTCTTGCTCTGTTAGGGACCCATCCTATCCCTGGAGCATGAAGGAAGTGAATTCCAGGTCTCTAAAAATTCTCCACTTTGACAATAATAATAGAAAAGTAAAATAAAAACACTTACATCTGGCTGGGAGCTTATAACCTGTAAAAAAAAAAAGAAGGATAACACATGACAAGGCCCAAAATAAAAAATGATTTGTTTGATGTACCTCCACCTAGCTGTCAAAATTGTCCCTACCCAATCACTTTTTTTAGCACAATATTTTTCCATGTTCTTCAAAATTATTTTGTAGTTGTCAACCTTTCATATCATATAAGTATCAAAGCTTTAGCACAGTAGGCATAGACTGTTCAAATAAATTTTGAAGTAGTCAGTTTTGCTGTCCCTAGCCATACATTCTTTTGGAATTTTACAAAACTGCATTGAAGGTATAGTCCTATCATCTGTTCATCCATAGAACTAGAGGTACTAGCTGTAAGAGCTCACAGAATTAATCAAGAGGCCTGTGGGCCTTATAGGTCACCTGAGCATCACGTAACAACTTAACAACAATTGAATTGGGTTCATGTTTTAAACCAGAGGCCATAACATTCACAATTTTGGAAAAGGCACCATTGCTAATCATAATGAGTAGGGGAACAAAACAATTCATTTCAACAAATTGGTAAAAATCAGCAAAAATCAGTAATAGATATGTAGGATTTTTTACCAGCTGTAATTTTGGCATCTCCTGTGTCACAGCCATTTAATGTCGCACACTCAGCAACCAACTTCTTACCAGCAGCGGAATGAATGGCACCATCAACTAGGAATTCAAAAAGTAACAAATATCTGAATAAATTAAAAACATAGGTAATCAGAGATTACAGAGCTCACCTCAACAAATGTTGTCTTTAAGCCAAAGTCCCACAATTACCTAACATTCTAGAAGTGTTCATCCCATAATGCAATATTTATGCAATTTTGATCTGACAGGGCTTGCAGTTACTTGGGAATAGACCTATCCAAAAACTTCAAACTAGTCGCCCATCAAGAAAATGAAATTCAAATCAAGCATCTGAAGAAAGTTTGAGAGTGTTTATCCCTTGATGCATCATCCATGCAAGTTTGGTTGATAGTTCATAGTTTCTTGGTAATAGTCCTGCAACCATAACTTTAACCTGGTCTATTACCTGGTATCTGGAAAATGTATGTCGGATCCAGCATCCTAAGCAAGTCCACTAGTGTGCATCCTTAGCTGAATCATCCATGCAAGTTTACTCAACACAGAAATGAGACCTGCACCAAAAACTGTAACCTGTTTACTCATCTGGAAAATGAAGATGAAATCAAGCATCTGCAGCAAGCCTGGCAGTATGCATCCTTAGATGTGTCATCCATGCAAGTTTGGTTAACATAGCACTCACAGTTACTTAGAAATGAGACCTGCACCAAAAACATTAACCTGTTTACTCATCCAGAAAATGTAGGTCAGATCCAGCATCGGAAGCAAGTCTGTTAGTGTGCATCCTTAGATGTATCGTCCATACAACTTTGGTCATCATAGGGCAGTAAAACTCGGTTATAATGAAGTCACTGGGACCTGTGAAATTACTTCGCTATACCCATAATTCTTATTATATACGTATAAGGAATTCATTACATTTATATAATTGAGGATCCAAGATAAGTTCGCTATATCTGTAAATTCGCAATTTCCGTGTTCGTACTAAATGAGTTTTGCTGTAGTTACTTGGAAATGGGACCTGCACCAAAAACTTTAACCTGCATCAAAATCATTCACCTGCTCCTAAAAAATTATCCTGCTCATTCCTTTGCTGAAATTGCAGCATCTGAAACCTTATCTGGTACAACGAAACACACTAGAAGCATCTTCCATGCGTGTCTAATCAATGTAGGGCATAGAAGTACTTAATAGAAAATTGCACCAATAACAACCTAGGACACCGACGCTGACGGTATCACATAACCTCCCTGAACTTCGTTGAGTTGGGCTAAAATGGAACTAAGCACAAATACAATACAGCTCAAGAGTAAATGCCATCACGCTGTGTACACAGTGTACATTGCAAATACATTTATAAGGTCCACAGCTTCACAATGTACGGATCCTGCATGGAGTAGCATGTCTTCCTGAGACTAGCTCAATGTAGATACACCAATCCATGGTGTGTTGAATTCAAGAAATAAGATATCATATTGAAACATCTATTGGGATATAAATACGTGTTAGTCATGAGATGAAATTCCATCAAGCCCGAATTTTTAAAATTTATATACCAGTACATGAACTGTACACCTGCAACTATTATTTGTGTCATCATTTTTTCACGATTTTGTATTTGCATGTTGAAATCCTGTGACAATCAATTTTTGCAATATAGGAAACATTTTCTACAAACGTAAAAAAGAATAAATGGTTTACAGCATTTAATATTTACATTTCCAATGTCTTTGTCAGAGAAAAAATTGCAAAAAGTTAATGTACTTTATTTCTCCATAAATGTACTGGTTCATCAATAGGTGCGGTTAAAAAAAAAAATCATGTGCGAGGTGTAACGTGAAGAGATAGAGACAGAAGTGGGGCTTGTAGCACATGGATTAGCATCCCAATCAAGAGCAACCAATCATCCAATTAAATATCAGGAATAACTGTCAGATTTTTTTTAATTTCATGACCATGATCGATCGATTGGCTTGCGTGATAATTTTATGCAAAATATGCAAATTATCATGCAAGCCACTCGATTGATCACATCATGAAATAAAAAAAATTAAACAGTTATTCCTTAAATATTCACGAGTTATAAGGTTGCACAACTCATGGATACTTATCCCATACAAATAGAAGTTGGTTTACAGTAATTCTTTGCATGAATTAACATCTAATGGGGTACTCTTAGGGTATGAAAACTTACCTCCACCCCCACCTAGAAGAGAGCTATTGGCAGCATTAACAATGGCATCAATTTCTAGGGTAGTAATGTCTCCTTTCCAAATAGAAACTCTCTGATTTATGTCCTCATTAACATTATACCTCATATCTAATTTCTTCTTTGCAGCTGCAAAATGAAATTTCATGTAATAAAATCTATAAGAATATTCATTTGTAACCTGTTAAATTCAGTTAGTTTCTCCAGTACACGACTTTACATGCCAACATGTCAACATGGTGAGACTGTAGCTCTACTGGTCTGTACGTATAACAAAAGAAAAGTAGCACTTGGATTTGAGACTTTGAAACAGGCAGCAATAAATAGATTTATATATCTTAATGTACACTAGATGTGTGCCACGTTATATTGAAATCAAACCAAAGCTGTAGGAGGAGTAGTGTTTTAAACTAATTCTAAAAATTTTCTGTATTTAGTAACCATGGCAACAACATTCTTCGAAAACAAAAACTGATTCATCAAATTATGTACCTTAGTTATTAAGTTACCCAGGGGTATATTAAAACCCAGACTTAAACTCTAAGAGGAGTAGCCTTTTAAAGGAATATCACAGAATTTTCTATTTCAAATAACCATGGAAACACTGTTAACGGAAATCATATTAAACTCAGACCAAAACTGTAGGAGTAGCATTTTAAGGAATTTCAAAGAACTTTCCTTTTTAGTAACTATGGCAACACCATTCATCCAAATCAAAAATCCATGCACTAGTTTATGTATCTTAGTGTAGTCTACTTGTGTGTCAAGTTATATTGAAATCAGACTAAAACTGTAGGAAGAGTTGCATTTTGAAATATTGTTTACAGACAGACAGACAGCTAGACAGATGGATGACGGACATCTTATTATAGCTTATTATCACATTCGCTTTTGGTCTCTGACCAGTAGATACATGCATCACAAAAAGGGTATAAGAAAATATTTATTGACTGTATTCTCATAAAAATGCGTTTTTTGACCCTCAAACCAAACTGTTTGCTAGAGGAAGTTACGGTAGGTTTGGTTCTGGGGTCTGACAAATGCATGGTGCCCAAGAACACAGTCAATAAATGTACTATAATGTCATTTCTTAACAATTAATTTTATTTTAACAACCTGCTTTTTTCATCCTCTCTTTGTGTTCATTGTAGAAATCTGGCCATGTTGGAATGTCATTTAGCTGTTTGAATTTCTTCCCACATTTGTATAGTTTTCTTTTTTCTTCTTTTTTCATATTTAAAAACTTTTCTGAAATGCAACAAAATTCCATTTTAAAAAGTCAAAAGTCAAGATTTACATTTGTCTTGCTGTTCTTAAAAGATATAATATGTTTAAAAAAAGTAAAAATTCACATCAAAAATTTTGACCCAGAGCTCATGGAAACAAATATTGTCTTTAAGTAAGGCAAATTAAGTCCCACACTTGACTATTAACCTAATAGTGTGCATACCTATAAATATCACCTTGGTCTGATTGGGCTTGCAGTTACTAGAGAATGGATTTACTTCAAAACTTGCAAATTAAATTGTGTTCACACTTCATACAACAGTTAATGCGAAGTAATTACACTAAATGCAAATTAAATGTTTTTCAATAAACTAAGTAAGGCTGTTCAGTAAATTAATGCACAATTTATTACTTCAATGGTGAGGTCAGTATTTGGTACAGTGGGTCTGCCTGTAGGAATGTAAATATTGAGGAACACAAGTTGCATGCATCCAGGTTTTTATTCACTCAAAAACAAACAACACGTGTTTATAAAACTGTACATAGAATTTGGATAGATCATATAGATCGGATTCTCGCTAATGTTACAAATGCGGACTAAATTTAATTGCAGTGAATCAGTTCTTTTGATTGTGTTGCATCAAATTCATCTATTCAAGTTTGGTCCAGATATCCCTTATAATTTCTTGGTAAAGGATTTGCTCTAAAAACTTTAACCTGGTCATTCATTTGGAAAATGTAGATCAGATCCAGCATCCAAAGCAAGTTCAGTAGTGTGCTAAGTGTATCATCCATGCAAGTTTGGTCAACAGAGGGCTTATTGTACTTGGAAATAATTAAGATCTGCTACAACTTGTTCACTTATCTGGAAAATGTACTAGGTCAGATCCAGCATCCAAAGCAAGTTCAGTAGTGTGCATCCTTAAGACTGATCATTTAGTACAATATAGTATATACAGGGCTAATAGTTACTTGGCAATGATCAGATCTACTCCAAAACTCTATTAAACCTGCTAAAAAACTTTAACCAGTGCTCCAAAAAATTATTGGCAAAGAAGTACTTGAAAAGAACTTTTACCTGGGATGCTGACACCGATGCCATTTGATTAGCTGCAGAACTGTAGTTCTTCGGGAAAAAAATATATTGACAGACCGGAGAGCTACAGTGCAACCCATTGAAAAAACTGTATATCTATTGCACACAAAAAAGTGAGCTGTTTTTCAATTTTTTTCTCCGTGTTTTTCAAACCTCCATATCAAAATACTACTAACTGTGTCTTCCCAACATAACCATGATAACGGAATTATTGCACTATTTCAACAACAAAACATTCCTTAAATTAAAACAGAAACTTTTGAAAATTCTGCATTGTGTACCTTGCCATTTTGGATAATTAGGTTCAAAGCACTCCATGCAGACATAAAATATTAAAGTATAGGCGATAGGGTCAAAGGAATGTTTTGAAATCAAGCTTTTGTACAGTTGAGGTAAGAATTTGGAGAAATTAATCCAAAAATGAGTGCAACTTATTGTGTGCAATAAATATACAGTTTTTTCTATGGGTGGCACTGTAGCTCTCTGGTCATCCATCCCAATTTTTCAGACCAACAACCTACAGGTCTGTAGCTACCATTTGATAACCTCCCTCCAACTTTGTTGAGGTGAGCTAAAAAGTGTGTTGCACTGACAATGGGAGATAACTCTTTATTTAATATGATGATATTAAAATTATGAATTAAAGCAGTCTTCAACATGCTCAAAAATGTTCATCTGCCAGAAATGCATCCACCCACTTAAATGTCAGGTGCACATGCAGGGTACGGGCCAACTGAGAATTTTACAAAAGGTCAGTGTAAGATAAGTGTAGCAACCTACTAAATATTTTCTTTTTTAATTTTAAGTGATATTGTTTTACCTTTGTCAGATAACACAGCATCGTGATGAGCATTTCTGGTTATTCTCTTGGATGTGGCGGGTTCTGGGGTTGTTAGGAGAGGGCTAGTCGTGCCATCCTTACTAGCACATTGCTTAGTTTCACTTTCTGTTGTCTTCAACTTTGTTGTTGACATACTGAACAAGCTGCGAAAGGGGGCAGTGATTGTGATCTCCTCTATGACTACTTTAAACCTTCTTGATCTGCCTTTTAAAATTCCTCTTGCCAAAGTTAGAAAGTCAGCATGCATCATAACACTTTATTAAAAGTATGCCCATGGTGACATGATCATACACCGACCTTACCTTTTCCGAAGTTTTATGACTTTTTTTTAGAATATACTTTGCGAATTAAAATTTGTTAATATAAATAGATATCTTTTGTTTGAACTGAGTGGGTACTAAATGTTTTATTATTAACATCGTTTTCGTTTTTTCCTTACTATTTTTTTTTTACAGGAAGTAGCATTTCAAAAGGCAGTCGGTAAATCTAGTACTGCTTAATCCCGAAATATATTTGATGAAGACGTACATGTGTAAGAGCTCCACTTCAAGTAGCTTATGTGTGTAAATCTAGATTATCAAGAGTTGCCTACCAGTTATTGTTTATCAAAAGGTGTAGACGAGGTTAAAAATGCGTTCGACTCGCGGTCAAGTTCGACTTGCGATCAGTTTACCCTACGTTGCATCTTTTTTTTTCCAGAAAAAAAACTAAATTTTAAAGTACGGGGCCAACCGGAGCGGGACTTTCGATGAACATTTTCTGACTTTCGATGAACATTTTCTGTTGTAAAAAGTTACGTCCAAAAAACGATGTGTTTGTGCAACACTACTCCCCCCCCCCCCCCCGATGGTAATACAGTCTTGTCATATTGGACACTTGTATCAAATATTAAAGCCTTACCATTGACAGCGCAATAGTTATGGGCTAGGTTAAAGTTTACAATAGATAGTTTTCGATTTACCAAGAGTTACTTCCCGTTGGCCGCCATACTGGAGGTCCAAATGCTCATATTCCTTCATTGTTCAACCAATGTAAAATTCTTATATTTGCTATTTTGAATTAGAAATCATTATTTTTCTGAAGTATATAAATTTTTGGAAGCCTCCTTTATTTAAAAAAAATTATTTGATAAAGATTTTCCACCAAATATTTCTGCTATATTTTCTTAAACTTGGTAAGACAAAGAGGGAAAATCACTGAGTCGACCTCCAATATGGCGGCCAACGGGAGGTAACTTTCGCTAAATTCAGGCCTATCGAAAACTATCTATAGACAAACAGACAAGTAAAAACAATATACCTTGGGATCTTATGATCCAGGGGCATAAAAAGGGGGGCACTGAGCTGCAATAATGTCACCCTCTCCTTCTTTTTTTTTTTGTTGGGAGAGGGCTACATGCAACTCCTTAGGATCTCCGCAATGGTGCAAGCGCGGGAGTGATTAACTTCCGCGTAGATTTGATTCAAATTATCAGTAAATGGTCATATTTTATGAACATTACTTACCTGAACTCCAAAAATGTAGTTATGCATACAAAAGAATCCACATATCGGTTATTTATCATGTATGTTAAAATCACAACTTGAATTTAGCCGCCATGTTTACTGACCTCGATCGATTGTTATATATTGGGACAACCAATGAGAATTCGGGATATAGGGAGCATCTCTATTTAGGAATCCCTCATTTCATGCGCAAATACTGCTGTTAACGAAAAAATATTACTTGGGATGATTTTGGGCTATAGATGTTTAGTGATACCACACAACACAATCATTTATTAACACCCCCGATATTTTCTTTTATAAGTGATTCTACACTGTATATTCCAAGGCGGCACAAGTCAGCTAGCTTTCTTGGCTGTTGAATGTAGAAACAGTATATTTTGCCTGTAGTCGCTTGAATGTAAAAAATACATTTGCACCATTACATAGATCATGTAGATGTTGTGGAATTAAAGTCCTCTCCAGAAAATATCACATTAAAAAAAATAGTAGAGGGATACGATACATTATTGCAGCTAATGTTTCAGGAAAAAAACTGAGAGAACCGGGAGTCGTCAAAACTAGATTTACCGCTTGCCGTCCCGTTAGTTTACAGACGTATTTGGCTCTGGGTTTACCGAATACCCAAATTAAAATATCGCGGGAAATCAGAAACTGAGGCTTGCTGCGAAAATGGCACTTTTGCAAGACGAAGCCCTAAGGGATGAGTTTGATATATTTGGTATTGAATTGTCCGATGACATTGTAGACAAATGTGAGTTCCATTCATTTCCTTATATATATAGTCCGGTGGAAATAGGGTAATATTTAGCACCAGAATTGGCTCTAATCTATTCTTGAACAGGTCCAGTACAATCACTAGATTTAGCTACGTAGGTAGAATTACCTACGTGGCTTTATTTACGTACCTTTTCAAATTTTTTCTTTTTATTAAAAAGAGACAAAAAATTGCAATTAAATGACTATTAATATTATTTATACTAGGGAGGTTTAAAAAAAAACAATCCAAAGCAGAGATAGTTTATACATTGCTGCGTTTGGACAATTTTGAGCAAAACATGCATGATGTAATTCCATTGTTTGGTTAACTGTCCTCTCTTATGCCTGCGGTGACGCATGGCTGAGTATGATTACTTCACATTGTGCTGAATGATTACCGACCTATTATCATGTTAACCGGAACTGGACTTCTTTGTCATTTCATTCAAAGAGTAACTGTTCCAACTGTCAAACATTGCCCCAAAATTTTCAGAACTTTGATTGCAATTGCGCAGAAAAAAGACATTTCTTCAAGAGTGATTTTTTCATGAATTGTTTTCAGATGAGTTATATTGCAATACAATGACAAAAAATATCGTATTGCAATACGTTTTTGTAATATCGATATATTGGCAAAATGCTTAAACTAAGGAATTTTATCATTAAATATAAAAATAAATATAAGATGAGTTGTTAAAAAGCCAAACAGTAAGAAAGACCCTATTTTATGTATTCCTGAGCATAGCTTTAATAAAATCAACAAGATTTTTAGCTCACCTGAGCCGAAGGCTCAAGTGAGCTTTTCTGATCACATTTTGTCCGTCGTACGTCTGTCTGTCTGTCCACAAACTTTTGACGTTTTCAACTTCTTCTCAAGAACCACTGGGCCAATTTTAACCAAACTTGGTACAAAGCATCTTTGGGTAAAGGGGAGTTTAAATTGTTAAAATGAAGGGCCAAGTCCCTTACAAGGGGAGATAATCATGAAAAGACAAAAATAGGGTGGGGTCATTAAAAAATTTTCTTCTCAAGAACCACAGGGCCAGGAAAGCTGAAACTTATGTGGGAACGTCCTGGGGTAGTGTAGATTCTAAATTGTTAAAATCATGACCCCCGGGGGAAGGGCGGGGCCACAATAGGGAATCCAAGTTTTACATAGAAATACATAGGAAAAATCTTTTAAAATCTTCTTCTCAAGAACCACTGGGCCAGGAAAGCTGAAACTTATGTGGAAGCATCCTGTTATAGTGTAGATTCTAAATTGTTAAAATCATGTCCCCCGGGGGTAGGGCGGGGCCACAATAGGGATTCCAAGTTTTACATAGAAATACATAGGAAAAATCTTTAAAAATCTTCTTCTCAAGAACCACTGGGCCAGGAAAGCTGAAACTTATATGGAAGCATCCTTTGGTAGTGTAGATTGTAAAGTTTTAAAATCATTGGAGGGAAGGGGTTAGTGGGGCATGATAGGTATAGCAAGAGGGGGAATCTGGTAAAGAACTGCATCACCCAAGTTACTCAGGTGAGCGATGTGGCCCATGGGCCTCTTGATTTTTCCTTTTGCTAACTCATCCTAGTTATGTATGATCTTCATGTAAATTAAAGTTAATTTCATGAGAAACTGCCATTTTAATAACGTTGAAAATATGCAATACATATCGCAATACAGTTAAAAATATTCCAATATACAATGTATCACAATACGAAATTTCTGGTCAATACCCAGCCCTATAAATCAAGCTATGTAGCTAAATGTAGTGATTGTACCAGACCTGTTGAACTGTTCAGAATCAGACGGAAAACAACGCCAATTATCAAATTGAAAAGGAAACATCATTAATTTTTAATTTGTAATCGAAATGAATCTGACATTTCTTGATGTTTCATTATATTTACCAATGTATATTTATCTCTTTCCCACAGGTACTTGGGTCTTGGTTTATAAATTTAATATATGTACATACCTTATTGATATGTAAAAAAAAAAAAAAAAGTAAAGGTATGCAGGCTCCATAATGGCATCTGCACAACTCGCTTGTTCATGGCTTGTTCTTTGAAAATAACGCTGTACCTACCGATCTTTTCTGCACCGGACGTCTCAGAACAGGGGTGTGCAATTAGCATCGCCCGACGCCCGGGGCTACCACTTTTTGGGGTCGGACTAGTGATTTTCTGCATGGAGGTAGCCCGTCGGGCTAGTAAAAATTATAACTACACACGCAATACATGAAAAGCACAACTTGTATTTTCACTCGTTTTTGCTATCAAATTCCCAACCAGTGAAAATTTTTCTGACAACATGCTCCTACTCTCAATAAATCTCCATAACCTTATCTGTTTTGCAGCACTACCTGACTTATTTACTTCCAAAAACGATTGTTTTTTCCTAACCCGAATTTCCTCTATTCTTTTGTTTATGGTTAATACATGCAGATATCTCATTAAATCATTTACGATCACTCAATCAACTGAAAGATAAGTGTTTTATGACTCACATAAAGTATATTTATAGTGTATTTAATGGTTTAAGATGAGAACAAAATGAATTAAATTTCATTCTAAATGAGCAAGTGCAATGTTCAGAAAAAGGAAAGATAATTCATTTCAATGCATTTTAAACTTCTTTCATTATAATTTATACATGGTTTAATTTCATAGTGAGAATTAAACTTTAATTTTAAAAAGAATGATCTCAGTACCCTGACTTTTTCAACAATTAATTTTCGTTATAGTTTTTTATTTTAATTTTTGCCCCTATATTTGGGCTAGTAACTTTTCACTTGGGGCTAGTAACTTTATAGCTGCCACTAGCCCGTGGGCTAGTTATTGATTTTTCTAATTGCACACCCCTGTAGAACATTGATTACTTATTGTAAAAACCCGCCTCACATCTTGCAAATATATAATTCCTAAAACTTGATTTTTAAACACCTTTTTAGCTCACCTGAGCCGAAGGCTCAAGTGAGCTTTTCTGATCACATTTTGTCCGTCGTCCGTCCGTCTGTCCGTCCGTAAACTTTTCACATTTTCGACTTCTTCTCAAGAACCACTGGCCAATTTTGACCAAACTTGGTACAAAGCATCCTTGGGTGAAGGGGAATTTAAATTGTTAAAATAAAGGGCCAAGTCCCCTCACAAGGGGAGATAATCAAGAAAAGACGAAAATAGGGTGGTGTCATTAAAAAATCTTCTTCTCAAGAACCAATGGGCCAGAAAAGCTGAAACTTACGTGGAAGCATCCTGGGATAGTGTAGATTCTAAATTATAAAAATCATGACTCCCGGGGGAAGGGCGGGGCCACAATGGGAAATCAAATTTTTACATAGAAATATATAGGAAAAATCTCTGAAAATCTTCTTCTCAAGAACCACTGGGCCAGAAAAGCTGAAACTTATGTGGAAGCATTCTGGGGTAGTGTAAATTCTAAATTGTAAAAATCATGACCCCCGGGGGAAAGGCAGGGCCACAATGGGGAATCAAAGTTTTACATAGAAATATATAGGAAAAATCTTTGAAAATCTTCTTCTCTAGAACCACTGGGCCAGAAAAGCTGAAACTTATGTGGAAGCATCCTGGGGTAGTGTAGATTCTAAATTGTTCAAATCATGACCCCCGGGGGAAGGGTAGAGCCACAATGGGGAATCAAAGTTTTACATAGAAATATATAGGAAAAATCTTTGAAAATCTTCTTCTCTAGAACCACTGGGCCAGAAAAGTCGAAACTTATGTGGAAGCATCCTGGGGTAGTGTAGATTCTGAATTGTTCAAATCATGACCCCCGGGGGAAGGGTAGGGCCACAATGGGGAATCAAAGTTTTACATAGAAATATATAGGAAAAATCTCTGAAAATCTTCTTCTCAAGAACCACTGGGCCAGAAAAGCTGAAACTTATGTGGAAGCATTCTGGGGTAGTGTAGATTCTAAATTGTTCAAATCATGACCCCCGGGGAAAGGGCGGGGCCACAATGGGGAATCAAAGTTTTACATAGAGATATATAGGAAAAATCTTTGAAAATTTTCTTCTCAAGAACCACTGGGCCAGAAAAGCTGAAACTTATATGGAAACATCCTGGGGTAGTGTAGATTTAAATTCTTCAAATCATGACCCCCGATGGAAGGGCGTGGTCACAATTGAGAATCAAAGTTTTACATAGAATATATATGAAAAATCTTTGAAAATTTTCTTCTCAAGAACCACTGGGCCAGAAAAGCTGAAACTTATGTGGAAGCATCCTGGGGTAGCAGGGTTCGAAATTAACTTTTTTTAGCACTAGTCCGCACGGACTAGTGACTTCTAGCTTCCAATAGTCCGCAAACTATTCCACTAGTCCGCCCTATATTATGTAAAAAGAATAATACATATTTTAAATTTTATCAATTAATTCAATGAAATATGTGTCCACACATCAGTTGGAAGCATGTGGTGAAAGAAAGAGGGTTTTAAACTTTCAGAAATCTCCAGATGGTCACGTAATTGTCTATTGATCACAATGTAGAAAACGCTTTATCGCGGTTGCGTTTCTCATTTATTTTCATACATCTAAGAGACTCGGAAATAAAATTAATAAAATGTGAACCAATTCAAGACTTATATCCGGATTTGCACTAGTCCGTACGGACTAGTACCTTACATAATCTGCTAGTCCGACACAATTTTGACTAGTCTCGGACTTACGGACATGAGTTAATTTCGAACCCTGGGTAGTGTAGATTCTAAATTGTTCAAATCATGACCCCCGGGGGAAGGGCGTGGCCACAATGGGGAATCAAGGTTTTACATAGAAATATATATAGGAAAAATCTTAGAAAATTTTCTTCTCAAGAACCACTGGGCCAGAAAAGCTGAAACTTATGTGGAAGCATCCTGGGGTAGTTTAGATTCTAAATTGTTCAAATCATGACCCCCGGGGAAGGGCGGGGCCACAATGGGAAATCAAAGTTTTACATAGAAATATATAGGAAAAATCTTTGAAAATCTTCTCAAGAACCACTGGGCCAGAAAAGCTGAAACTTATGTGCACATGGAAGGATCCTGGGGTAGTGTAGATTTCAAAATGTCTAAATTATGATCAGTGGGGTAGGGTGGGGATGCATTATGTATTACAAGGGGGAAATCTGGTAAAGAACAGAATGGTCAAAGCTTCTCAGGTGAGCGATGTGGCCCATGGGCCTCTTGTTCAAACTTTTCGTTAACGTGCCCAGAACTAAGTGATTTGATTTTCAGGGTTACTAAATGATTCTGCTGTATGGCATCACTAAACATTGATATATAAAACTATTCCATGTGACATTTTTTCGTAAACAGCAATATTTATGCCTTAAATAAGGTATCTTCAATGTCTCCCTCACGCATTTTTCACAACCTTGATTCTCCTTTGCATGGAGTTCATCATTGTGTTTATCCTTCAAAAAGGATGTTATTCAAGCCTTTCAACAAGCCAGCTTATGGTCTGAGGAAGATCCCTATAATTTTGAGGTCAAATTCATACATCCTGTCTGTGTGTAAAACTTTCATTTCCGGATGATATCTCAAGAAATTTTGGCAATGAAATTTTATACCTTAGCTCCCTATGGCTGCTGATTTTCTCAATTTTATTGGTATATGATACCAAGTATTATTGATAAATGTTGGATCTGCTAGGTTCTGTGTCATCCTAGTCCTAGTTAGTGTTGGTTCATATCATGCCCCACTCCTCCTTAGGGGTTGAGTAGGACCACTAAAAATACTAAACTGATTTCTGCTTTTAAAATATAAATGCTCACTACAGATGAGTGATGTGGGCGTGGACCTCTTGTTTTAAATTTGAGCCCTAAAGCAAAATTGCTTTCTACGGCTTGTAAACCGTACCATAAAATTTAGACCTGTACTTAATCTTTTCTTTTTATTTTCACAGTAAAGGAACTATGCGTTACCTATAATTTGGATGCAGAAAGAGTAGCAGCTGAGTGGATTGCATTTTCAAATCTTAGGAAAAATCTCACTATCTCTGTGGAGAACCTGGATGTATTTGATAGAGAGGTAACTTGATCAATTTTCAGCTAACCAGAGTCAAAGGCTCAAGTAAGATTTTATGTGCAAAAGTGTCTGTTCTCTGTTTGTGTGTATATCATGTGTTGTCTTACATGACCACTGGGCCAATTTCAACCAAACTTCACACAAAGCATTTAATTGATGGAAGGCCAGGATTCAAATTAGTTTACATGCAGGGCCTAATCCTCTTTCAGGGAAGAATAAAGAATTTGTAAAAAAAAAAAAATTAGTGGCGTGTTAATTCTTTTCAAAAATCTAAAGAAACACGAGACAAGAAAAAATGAACTTCTTTGAAAGCCATACTGCAACGTATAGATACAGATTTATTCAAATCATAACCCCTAATGGAAAGGATGGGGCCACTATAAAAGATCAAAGTTTAACGAAGCATTACTTATATGTATCTTTGAAAATCTTCTTCTTAAGAACAAATAAGCCCTGACTATACATATAATCAGTAAGCAACCTCAGGAAGATTAAAATTGGTTCAAATCAAATCGTCTGGCAGTGGGGGTGGGGCCACAACAAGGTTCAAAGTTTTACCAAGTAATATAAAGGAAATATCTTAAAAATTCTTTTAAAAGAACAAAAATAAAAAAAAAGCATGATTAGTCATATAGAATCTTGACTATCGGTCTTGTGGTACAGTGGTCAGAGCATGTAGAGAGAAAGAAATTTAGTATGTCGCAGGTACAAATCTCAGGATGTGGAGACTGGTCTTTCAGATGAAGCCATATAAACCTGGTCCTGTGTCACAGTAGGTACTGGCACAAAAAAGATCCCTCACTCCTTACTGCGCCTCTCAGCTAAGGCTAAAACACATTTAGGTGGAGAAGAATCAGTAACTCAAATTCAGTTGTACTTGTAGAAACTAGCAAAGAAAACGCAGAAAACTCCGCAGACTCCTTTGAACAAGAAGACACAGCAGAGAGTGTACAATATTGACAATGTGTCAGAAGGGTATGAATCTCTAGGTTAACTAATAACTATAATTACTATCAAGAGGCTTACTAACAAGTAATGACAGTCTAGTATAGTGCCTTTCTGTGACTGTATAATATGACTTCATATAAGGGCCCGCAGGGATTTGCAGGTGCCCTATAGTAATCAATTTTTTTCATTCTTCCAGTTGCAAATTTTCTATTTTTAGCTCATTTGAGCTGTATGCCAAAGTGAGCTTATCTGATCACTGTTTGTCTGTCTGTAAACTGTTTACATTTTCAACTTTTTCTCAAGAACCACTTGGCCAATTTTAACTAAACTTGCCACAAAGCATGGATGAAGGGGGTTCAAGTTTGTTCAAACCATGACCCATGGGGATATAGTGGGGCCATAATGGATGATCAAAGTTTAACATAAGAATGTATAGGAAAAATCTTTAAAAAACCTTCTTCACAAAAACAGCAAAGCCATGATTAGTCATATTTATATGCAAGCATCCTCAGGTAGTGTAGATTCATGTTTTTCAAATCATGACCCCCCTGGGGTAGGATAGGGCCACAATGGAGGAGCAAAGTTTTTCATAGGAATGTATAGGAAATTTTTAAATCCATCTTCTTTCTTCCAAACAGCAAAGCCGTGATTGGTCACATTAATATGGAAGCATCTGCAGGTAGTGTAGATTTCAATGTGTTAAAATCATGACTTCAAGGGATGGGGTGGGGGGTTGTGGTTGGACCACAATGTAAGTTCAAAGCTAAACAAATAGTCATAGAAATTTGCAAGCATCCTTAGTGAAGATTCCAGTTTGTTCAAATTAACCCCCTCCCCTCATGGGAAGGTTGAGACCACTTATAGATCTAAACCTTTTAATACTGAACATTTCTGCTTTTTTCCTAGCCACAATGCTCAGGTAAGTGATGTGGCCCATGGGCCTCTTGTTTTTTTCTAATATCTTTTTTTAGCTCACCTGATTGGAAAGTTCAAGTGAGCTTTTTTTTTTGATCACCCATTGTATGTTGTCAATCCATCTGTTTGTAAACTTTTCACATTTTCAATATCCTCTAGGGCTGAAACGATTCACCGAAATATCGATATTGTTCGATATAAGTGCTCGGTTCAATGTTCGATTCACCATCTCGATTTTCAGTTCGATACGTTTCTTATAATCGGGTTTGGTTAACTCTTTGAAATAGATCGTGTTCGACCTTATTTTAACAGTTTGACACACACGAGGGAGAGAATTGGGACGGTAAAGTTTCAGAGTAGGCTGCCTCTGCTATTTATACGAATAAAGTGTTCTTAATCAACAGAACCACAAGTATCAGAGATGTGCAATTAACAAATTAGTAAATTCGGGCTAGTAAAAAAGTATAACTCAGACTTTAAAAATGGCGCTCGGCCAGGCAAGACGTGCTGTTTAGCGAGTGGTCGAAAACATGCTGGACTCTTAATTAATACTAATTCTAAACCGTTCCTGGATGTGGAAATTATGTGATACCTTCTCAGTGATATATCCATGCAAATAATATTGTGAATTGTAAGTGAATGTGAATGCGATTGTGATTGGGACTTGGTATTGAAGATCATATAAGTAAAGTGTACATTTAAAAAACCCGCACCAGTGCCTGTTGTGAAAACTGTTCACGGTCACTCTACACGGTAAGAATGTCGACCCCTAGTGTATCTACACGAGGGAATAAAAAAGGAGAGAAAAATGAAAAATCAAACAATGAAAATCAAGAGGAAAGCACTTTGACAGACGTAAGTAAACAGCTAACCCAGATTTCAAAAGATCTCGTGGAATTAAAAACTGAAATTAAAAAAACTGTCAAAGCTGATAAGTTGGAGACGCTTGTAACCACAATTGTGAAAAAAATTATAGAACAAAACAATAAAGAAAGAGATGAGAGTGTAAAAGCAGAAGTAGAAGAACAGTGCCAGGCATTAAAAGTTGAATTTCAAAAGAAAATAGATAAGGCAGCGGGAGATATTGAAAAACTTGAATCAAGGGCAGAAGTACTAGCCGAGAAATTAGCGGAGAGCAATAAAGAAATCAGAGAATTAAAACAGAGGGTGCAAATGAACGAAAAAATTGCAGGTGAAGCTTTCAGATTGAGCAACAGAAATGAACAATACTCCAGAAAATATAATTTTAAGATCATGGGAGTTATGGAGATGGAGAAAGAAAACACTCAGATGGTTGTAAAAGAGTTTATTCAGGAGAAAGCAGGTGTACAACTCCAAGATCGCGAAATAATAGCAGCGCATCGTATTCTGGGAGAGAACGGAAAGCCAAGGCCCATTATTGTTAAAGTGATCAACTCAGATGCCAAGGCCAGAGTCATGAGGAAGCGTTCAGATATAAAGAAACTAGGAAACGGTTTGAAATTGGTGGACGATGTGACAAAAGCAAATGGGGAACTTATCAGTAAACTTCTAAGTCGAGAAGACATCGAATCTGCATGGTACTTTAACGGTTCCATCTATGCACAAATCGAGGGAAGCGAAAAAAGAACGAAATTTGACATAACAGATGATCTAGACGACAAGATCAAGAAAATTAGTAAGTGATTTTTTCTGGAAAAAATGTTCCGCCATTGTTTACTTTGTTAATAACAGTCATACCATAAACTTCCGGTTTGAGTCCTGCTAGTTTGGATGATCCACGGCTGACTTTAGTGTCAATTTAAAGTCTATTTTTCAGATTTTACGTGTTTTTTTTCTTTTTTTTTCTATTCATTTATTTTTTTCTCTTTTCTTTCATTTGTTTACTTTTTCATTCCTGTATTATGTTTTTCAGTGAGATTGTTTGTGTGAAAGGCCAGTATGAATGTAATGAACTTAGCATTATTTTTACACCGATATGGGTTCGATAAAAATAGCAACAGTCAATTGTCAAGGGTTAAATACACAATCAAAGAGAAAAGATGTACTAAACTTTTATAAAACAAAAAATTATTCTATAGTTTGTTTTCAGGATACCCATTTTACAACTGACTTAGAATCATGTGTAGAGACTCAGTGGGGCTATAAATGTGTGTTTAATTCATATTTGTCAAACTCTAGAGGGGTAGCTATTTTTTTCAATAATAATTTTGAACTAAAGCTCCACAGGGAGAAAAAAGATAATGAGGGTAATATTTTAGCACTTGACATAAGTGTTGATGATAACAGAATTACTATTATTAATATTTATGGCCCAAATTACGATAGCCCTGAATTTTATGAAAAAGTTAGGGATTATTTCTTAGAATTTGATAATGATTATTTTATCCTGTGTGGAGATTTTAATCTGGCATTGAATCCCAACATAGACACATTTAATTATGCAAATGTAAATAACCCCAAAGCCAGAGATAAACTTATTGAAATAATGAATGATTTGAATTTAGTTGACTATTATAGAATACTTAACCCAGATAAAAAAGTTTATACATGGAGAAGAAAAAATCCAGTTAAGCAGGGTCGTCTTGACTACATCCTTATATCAGAAAACCTATCAAATATTGTTGAACATTTTGATATAAAACCTGGGTATAGATCTGATCATTCCTCAGTTACAATTGAGTTAAAGTTTAATTTATTTGAACGAGGACGTGGACTATGGAAATTTAACAATAATCTTTTACATGATAAAGAGTATGTTGAAAAGGTGAAACAAAAAATTCAATTAGTTAAAAACCAGTATTCTCAGGACCTAAATGGAGTAGAAGTAGAGACTTCAGTTGATGACTCTGTATTTTTAAAGCGCTAAGCGCAGCGCAAAGCGCTTTTCTGTCAGCGTAAATTTACTTCCGTTCTGGTTCCAGCGCCACTATATAAGCAAGATAGATAACTCTACTTGTTATTCTAAAAATATGCAACTGGAAATCCCTGACTCTCTTGCGGCTATTTTAGTGTAATTCTGCGTTACGTGTATTTCTAATAATAGAAGGCAATTAGTAAGGAGAGCAGTTCTTATCATGCTCTTCTCTATATATGTAGTTCATTTAAATCATGTCGGTACACATTAATTTGGTACCACGTAGCTTACAACTGCTGCCTCTATGGCGCAAATACTGAATTAAAAAACAGTTTATTATTTATCATGTACATGCAATATAGTGATTGAATAATCAATACGTACCCGGTACATGGTTTAAAACTCAGATGGGATTTTGATAAGTTTTTAAATCTCAAACTGGGAGTGATTTATTCAGAAGAAGAAATCACATAAAATTGATTTACAATGTACTACTTACATAATATGGTACGTTCTATATATCCATATAAACTATAATTATTTTTTTTTCTTCTTTACAATTATTTCAGGCAATGTAACTAAAACAAGCCTTTCTATATATTAACATCTTGTACCATGCTGTGATTTATCAGTGAAGTTGATTTTCGCATCTAAGTATCAATTAGTAACAGACAGGAATGTATTCAAGGACGGTCTTTTTTAATCTCTATACTTGCATGACTTGTGTTGTACATAATTCGAAAGGAAGGGCAGTTTGTGGCTCTACGGACATTAATTAGAGCATGTGGTGGATGTGTTTTCAACGAATCCACTCAAATAGTAAAACTTATTTATCGGAATACATGTATTAAGCTCTAAAATTGTGCGTGTAGTGTGCAGAATATGGCGAAAAATCCTAAAACCTTAATTAACGTTCTTAAGAATGGACAGAAATAATGCTGATGAAATGTTAAGTAAACGGTGTAATACTTAAAGTAGGGAACTAGGAATAAATTATAGTTTAATATGTAAAGATGTGTCTCAGCTGTGTTGCCAATTCTTAATGAAGACTAAATAAAAACAGAATAAAATAATATTGTATACCTTCATGAAGATTTATTTATACTTGAGATTAATACGGTATTTTCTTTCTTGCATGGACTCTTGAATTATTAATCATTGATAAAGCAGGAATATTATGAACAATTATTTTCAGTATTCCTTTTTAACTAGCACAACAATGCCGTATTTTTAATTCAAAGAAGAAAAGTGTAAAAATTTATATTACGTAAAAACG